TACCATAAAACTGCACATACAAAGGATCTAGTCTGTGCACTCCTTATGAGGATCTAATGCCTGATGAGGTGGAGATGTAATGCACTTGAAGCATCCCCAAACCATTGCCCCACCCCTAGTTTGTAGAAAAAGTCTTACACGAAACCAGTCCCTGGTGCTAAAAAGGCTGTGGACCACTGCTTTAAACCATACTAGTAAATATGAGTGAATGTTTCCCTGAGTTTTGTGAGCCATTATAGCAAATTAATGTACCCAAGGAGAGGGTCATTGGAACCCCAGAAGTACGGAGAGGGAGGTCTGGGCTTGTAAGTGGCATCTGAAGTGTACGCAGTCTTGTGGGACTGAGCCCTTTACCTGTGGGGTCTGCTTAAGTCGTGTCAAATTAAATTGTAGGACATCCTCTGTAGTGGGTATCCACAAAGAATTAGAGAATTGCTTGGTGTGGAAAAGCCACACATTTAGCATCAGAAGTGCTATTTAACAATATAAAGCAAAACAGTGAGTTTGTTTTTCTTACTTGGTAGTAGCAATGGGCACTCAATACTTTATTTCTGATACTAATATGTCGACAAATGTTATTTTTAATAATATTCTCACTAAAATACAATATCACAACCAGAGGTTTCCTCAAGGATATGTGTTTGTGACTCTTCGTATACGAGATTATCATAGGTAGTGCAGAGATGAACTTCTTAAAAAAAAACAGGTCTGGGCTGGCAGGTTGGAGCCCAGCCCAGGCCTGCTAAACAAACAAACAAAAAGTTATGGTTAGGTGTTTCTTTTTGCAGTTAATTTCTAATTGTGACACGTGACTGTGGTTTTTCCATTTTGGGTGGTTATATGCAGTAGTTTCCACTTTAGATACATTTGAGTAAAAAAGGTAAGGAAGTAATTTTTAAATGCTAGGGAAATATAGTATAGCAAATATAGTATAGCTTTAATGCACACACAGCGGAAATCAGTCACAAAAGTGCTATGGGAAAACTGAAGGTGGGAAAACCCTGGGGCAGATCACCCGTAATGGTAGCTATGAATGACTACTACTATTATTAGTATTACTTTTAGGGGTGTTAGTCAAAAATCAACTTGGGGTGACTCTGAACTATATATAATGTATCTGAGAACTGGCCTTTGAGAGAGGGGAGGGAGGAAGGAGGGAGATATTTGCAAAACTGAGGACAACCCCATAGTGAGTGTCTCAATTCTGTGCAAAGAGCTGGGAATCCTTTGAGTTATGGAAGCCTAACTGGGATGTTTGCGTAAGTCTCTGAGGGGAAAGAGAGGTCAGTGATTTCTCCAGTACTCAGGAGGATCCCCCCCAAGTTGGGGAAATGGACATTATATGCAACCAGGAGAAGAAGAAAGGACATAGAAAAAGGAAGTGGAGGCAGAAGAGGAGATTCTGGACAGGATCCTTCCAGATCCAAAAGTTTCGTGATTCCAAGAATTGCCTTAACAGTTATGGGTCTCCAAGGTGGAGGCTATGCCAGGGAAGGGTGAGGGTAGAGAAGGCCAATCAGAGGCCAGGAAGTGGGGGTGGTATTTGGGGCTTCCTAGAAAGTGTCAAAGGACTCAGTAGGCAGGAATGACTACTTCAGCTAGAGACAAAGCACTTTCCAGCCTTTGTTTTATCTTAGCAGAAGAGAGGATAGTTTCACCATTTGACAAGTGAGGAAAATAAGACCCAGAGGAGTAATTAACAAGAAATTTTTTTTTTTTTGAGTCAGAGCCTCAAGCTGTCCCTGTGGGCAGCGTGCTGTGGCATCA